GCACACACACACACACACATATTCAGAGGCACTTAAAGACCGGGAACAGAGTTTTGGCTTCTGACCAAAAGCTGCCGTCCTTAAATGCTATTTGATGCCAGCACTGCCATCTGTTGCCGTCTTAAGATAGCTCTTCTCACACAAGACGCGGGCGAGATAACACTTTTCCTGGAGCCGTGGTGTATTTTTCACATATGGCCACAAACCGTTCAATATAAGCACAGTTTGGTTAAATGATAACTCCAATGCAATAACCGCATATCTCCTGTCACTCAACAAACGGCACCCCTGCACCCCCCAATAACAAGGGAAATACTGTACAAGATGGAGAATAAAAAGTTTTCCCAAACTATGCAACATATCTAAATGCAAGGGCAAGCTGATAATAATAGCACTATATTGTGTTTAATGTTGAATGCTATGCTTGTGACATTGTTCACATAACAGTGGAAACAAAGAAAGACAGGGAGGTTAGAGAGAGGAGTTGAGCGGGGGTGGGGGGGGGGGGGTTATGTTTGTAGCAGCGATGTGTGTTACATCAACCAACCTCCCCCAACACACATATGCACACTGCACACCTCTACCCACTGAATCCTCTCCTCCTGCCCTCCTCTTCACTTCCTCTCCCTCTTTTCCTCTGATCTCCGAGCAGAGGGCCTTGGGGGGTTAATTAACAGGCTTAGATAATGCCACACTAATAAAAGCAAGACAACTGTTTTTCCTGTCTGTCTTCCACCCTCCTCCTCCCTCTTTATTCCTCTATCCATGTGTCTGTTTCCCAACCAGAACTAGCCAATATCAACGTAATTGATTCTTAGCTAAGCTCCGCCACCCCATGCTACTCCATCAAGGTATCAGAGCTACCGTGGAGCCCACATGGTCACTAACTGCACTCACTGAATAAAGATTATCCAATTTTTGGAAAAACATTAAAGCAAATTCATAGAGAAGCAGACAGAAGGCTCTACAATATGTGAAGGATATATAGAGGATGTCAGAACTGAAAACAGGTTAAAAAGATAAAGATAGAAGCTAAAGCTACTGATCAGAGTGTAAAAGGGAACCACCACATCACCTGGTGATCAAGACAGAAGACAATGAAATTAAGGAGCAAAACTGTTCCTCTAAAGCCAGTTAGGTCTTCATTCACCTTTACAATCATTAAAAAGTAAACGCAGTATGTGTGTCCATTAAGTAGCGAGCGTAGCCAAGAAGTGCTACCGCTAGTAGCGGATGTGCTAACCTTAGCTCCATAGGTCTTAACCTAGAAATATAACATTTAACAATTGTATATCTCCTTCCAACATCTCCGAGAATCGCTACAACACAATGTTTAACAATGACTAGCTGGTCAAAACTGTTGTAATGATTGGCCAGTCTGCATTCAAGGGGCGGGACATAGCAAAGGGTCATTTGACAGGGATACTGGGCCGGATTTGTGATGCCTCATGGAACCCGGATATTTCATTCATGTTCAGGTCTCATTTAGGGGTTTGTAAAATTCTTTATGGAAAGAATATCAATAACGCCACCTATAGTGTTATTTCAAAATAAACTTCTTTGGTAAAATTTGGGTAAGGATTGTGGTTTGGGTTAAAATAAGTATGTTTGTAGCATAAAATAACTATATTTGTTAGGTAACAAAACTATGGTTAAGTAACTCAACTTTGACTTGATTTCACAAGGAACACAAAGTCCTGTGTAGTATTGTATTTGCCCTTGCCCATTGGTGGTACGTACACGTTCCTCTTGATGGTCTAGTCTTTGCCTGTTTAATCAGGGTTTTAATACTGTTTGGCCACTCTTTTATTTACTTATAAAATACATGACTTCCTTGAGCCAAGTGGGTACAAGCTAAATCACAATTGTGTCATACTGAGTAGCAAACCAGTACTCGATTGCCAAAACTGGAATTGAAACAGTAAATCATTATATCACTTAAAAAAAAAAAAAAATCACTGTATTACTTATTAACACATTACAGCTTTATGCCAGTTGTGAGTAAAGTGTGGCAGGGATCAGACGGCGGAGAAAGGGTTCATTTGACAGAATGGTGCTTTGTGTGGTGCTGCCGGGCCACAGTCGGCATGTGGGCTGTTGTGGTTACTGGCACAGACCAGAGGACATGGATTAATGATGGCAACTTTGGCCCTCAGTGCCGGGCATGTGGAATGTTGAACGCCTGCGTGTGTGTGGGAGTGAGTGAGTGAGTGAGTGAAAGAGAAAGACAGCCTCTCTTTAATTTTTAATCCATAACAACATAGCCTGTGTGCTTCTTACTTGCTCTGCAGAAGTCATTTTCAATCTCAACACACACTCAAGTTTATGCATCCCTATCCAAACTTTTTTTCAAGCCACGCAATTCAAACCACAATCCCTCGCTTTTTACCTAAACAACCTCCCCCCGGAGATAATAAAAAAACTTGATTTGTATATATTTTTTAAGTCCGCCGAGACAAAAACGGCACGTAAGCAGGGTAGAGGAGGAAAAAAAGCGAGTTGAGTTGTTTTGGGGGCATAACTCCCTCTCCCTAAGTGTAAAATGGAATGAGATATTCTGCCTCTCGGACTTAACGTAATGTAAGAGAGTGTGAAATTAAACTGCACACAAATAAAGGGGGACCCTTCATTGTGTGCCACCGACTGGCTTATCTGGAAATTCAGACAACTGGAACATCCAAAGCCTCCAAACTTGTAGCAATCCCCTTTGTGCGGCTCTGGAGCAAACAATGTAATATCAGAAAGCCGGAGAGGCTCCAAATCCTGTGTCAGATTGCCAAACACAAAGTAGCTCGCGTCAAGCCTGTCCGTGTGTACACTTTAAGCGTTCACGTGTCCGTCTTTGTACAATATAAAGTTGACTGTGCACTCACTCCCGCTAACCCCATGCGTATGCCAGTGAGTGCCTCAAATAGATTGTTCCCTATTTAATTCCCGGCCTTTTACCTATTGATATTCCCTGCACCTATCTCCTCGCCTCTTTTTAAACCCCATATGTTAATTTGATTTCGAGCAACTCAAATTGAATAAGAGATAAAAGCAAAAAGAAAAAGGTAAAAGAAAACAAGGGTCAGACAAATGTACTGTTATTAATAACCTAAAGTACCAGAGAGGGCTCAAACTCTCTCCCTATTCCCGCCCCTCCCTCTTCTTTCCTTCCTCCCTCCCTCCCTCTCCACTTTGTTTTGTCCTCTCTGTCTATCTGTGAGTGAGTGAGCTAAGTGAAGTGGGTTATGATGGTGGTGTAATCGGCATCCCTCAAACAAACGGCTGCTGCTATTAAGGGCCATTGTGTTTGCTGCAGTGATGATCAGATTCAATCTAGGGAGAACATTCTGTGCTGGAGCTATGGCAAGGAGGGAGCGGGGGGTAGAGAAAAATACCTTGCCTTGTTCCACTCTGCTATTGTGTTCAGGGGGACGAGATGTATGCATGCTCTTCAAAAGATGCATATCGACAACGGGGAGCGGCAAAAGTTTAGCTCAGATGGCTGCACGAAGCGAGGCTAGTATTAAGTGCTGGGTAATGTTTTCACAGGATGTATTTGTTTCAATAAGGAGCTCGGCAGACTAGTGCCGCTCGGAGGGGTGCAGATGAGAAAATCACTTCTCCTCTCCGCTCTGTCCTCAACTTTACCCTCTCCTCCCAGTCTCTGTTTCCTCGGTCCAATCTGTCACGCTGTTAACACACCTTCACGAGGGCCGGTGGAAGCCTGGAGGGCCAAGAAGTGGAGGCTGACGTCGGGGGTTTGCAGGCCCCAATACATCAGGCTTGTTATTGAATAATCAGTCAGTCATGTAATACGCTGTTGATATGATGGAGGGGCAGGCGAGGAGGTCTGGCGATTGCTTCGTAGTGAGAAGGTTTTGTCTGGTGCCTTTCCGTGTGGAATTTGCATGTTTTCCCCAAGTCCGTGTGGGCTTCCAAAAAACATTCAGGTTCCATAAATTAAGAGACGAAATTGCCTGCAGGTGTGGGGGTGAATGGTTATCCGTCTGTATTTCCGTCAGCCAACTCACGTGGAATGGACGATTATGTGAACGTAGAATAAATATGGCACATTGATGTTTACTTATTTCTACGCTCTCAGTTCGTCACCCCCCCCCTCCTGCGCTAGGAAATGCCAAGCTCACCACAGCATCGATAGGGGAGTATATAATAACTTCCCCCCCCGATTACAACATAGACTCTACAGCCTACAGGTGGAGGCTTGGATTGGAACTGGGGCAGCACAGACAACAGTGGATTTAAGCGACAGCGTAGCTTGCAGGCGAGCGGTGTGGCAGCAGGCATGGCCACAGACAGGGATTCTAGTGCTATGAGGAAGAATTTCATCAGTCTGGAAGTCTTCATTGCGACAGACCTTTTTATCCTCAAATAGCAGTGCCAAAACACTATGGAAACTAAAAAGGTTGTCTTTATCAACCAACAAAATGCAGACCGCTAGTATTCATGGATGTAAACAAACGCGGGGTTTCAAAACTTTTTTCAAATGTTTCGTGAAGAAGGAAATGCATTCGACATGTGTTAGGCTAGAGGATAAACACAAAACGTAATGGTCCAAAATGTTGAACAGTAACAGCGAACGAACTACTGCTACACTACACCAGTGTATCCTTTTTAGGAGGCATGGGACATCTCTCACATGGAACTGTGACTGGTCGAGGATTGGTTAGATACCAGTCCCACGCTGCTGTTAACCTTGGTGTTTGCTATACATATGATTGTGTGAGGTTCTCTGTTTGGGTCAATGCTTCTCAAATGTTCTTACACCACAAACCTTCAAACCACAAACACACTTGCCCCCCAAACTATTGACCCAGTGGTCGCAGTGAGGGAGGACGTTTGCTGTGCCTTCATCACGCCTACACTGAACACAGAGACTTCCTACATCTGTAGCAAATTAGATTTAGAGTTCGATGGGGAACCCTAAGGACCCCAACCTGAGACTTACTCATGCTGATGGCGACAATATTCTCTTGTTCCGTTTCTCTCTCCAGGCCAGAGACCATTCAAGTGCAGTTACTGCCCCTACAGCGCCTCCCAAAAGGGCAACCTGAAGACGCACGTGCTGTGCGTGCACCGCATGCCCTTTAACAACAGCCAGTATCCCGACCGACGCTTCAAGCGCTCCCATCCTGGGTACGACATCCCGGAGAACAGCCCCGATGATGCCGTGGGCGGCGTTCCACCGAATCAACCGATAACAGATGGGAGCCATGGGAATAACGTTATGTGGTTTGCAGGGGAGGCCGAGTCACATCACCAGGAGTGAAGCCGCCATGAGCTTGGGTTGGTTGATAACAACCAGCATAGAGGTCTGTGTTGGACAATGAGAGTCCCATAGATTATCAGGCAAACACGCCCTGATGCACATTATAGTTGGTCAGTTTAAGACTCATTTCTATCAGACCCTGACCGGACAACGGCAAGACAATGAGATCCACAAACACTAGGTAAACATACTCTATGTGTGGTATTGGAAGTCTGTGAACATTTACTAAGAACACATTATAATCTATGTATTTGTGATGAGGTGATTCAGCGTTTTTGTATCCTTTAACCAAGCACAGTGGATTATGTGTAAGAACGGAAAAAGAGAAAGTGTTTAAAAAAACGTTAATGAAATTGTAGTTTTCAGACAAATCACGAGGGAAGGCGGCTGTGAAGCAAGAGGGAAGATGATGAAAATCATTGGAGCGACTTTTCTCCAAAAATAATGCTTTTATCAGAAAAATGATCCGTGTAAACGATTGAGCGGGGCAGTTACTGGAGGGAGGATGGAAGGGGCGGTGGAGTAAGAGGAGGGATTTTGAATGCACACCACCACCACCACCACAGCCATCCCAGAACATAACACCAGTGGCTGCCATTTTCCCAGTGTGAGTGATGAGCCCTGTATGTGTGTGTGTGTGTTGTGGGGTCAGCGGTGGCCATGGTGGCTTGTGTGTCAGGGATAGAGGGTAAAGGGAGGAGGGGTGCATTGGTGCCAGCCTGACTGGAGCTATCATTGCAGAGGAAATCAATTCAACAACACACACACACTCAGAGTCCTACAGTGGTAACCCGACTCTGGACGGTATACGCCAGGGGGGTCAAGTTGAGTCCCATCAGCTGGCCGGAGCCCCTAGAGTCACCTCCTACCCTCCTATATCCTTCCCTCAGCTCTCACTCTCTCTAGTGCGAGCCCGGTCCGTTAGAATGATGTGGAAAATTCAAAGCAAATCAATCAGCAACGTATTTAAAGCATCCATTAGCCAACGCTGTGGCTTGCCCTGCTCTGGTTTTTTCAAGGTGACCTTACTGGCTCCACGTCAGGGAAAGACGGGTAGTTTTAGCCAATTGTGTTTGAGCTTTGTCGTGACAGATGACAGTTTGGTACCCGGACGAAGCCGTGTATGGGGGATTTTTTTCTACATGTGCTTTAGAAGGAAAAGATCAGACGTTATGTACATATAAAAAGGTGTTTGACATCCCCCTTAAGGACAAAAAGCAGGATTAACCTCCTCCACTGATAAGCTCTTTTAAAGTTGCTCCACGGGGAGGGCCATGATGAAAAATAAGATAATCATTCACCTGCTTTATGTCTCTAATTATAGTACATTTTCTATAAAACAAGTTAGTTTTTAGTTTTTTTCAAACGAGGCATTCTCTTTTCTTTGTATAAGTAGTGTTTTATTCTTTATCCCTATGTGAATTATTCCTGAGGGGGAGGGGCACATAAAACATTGAAAGTGGAATGTTTTGATCCCATAAAATCAAGCTACATAGCTTAAAGGGCAAAAGACAACGTATCAACTTTGATTGTACTCAGTTGTGCCGGCAGCTCATGGTGTACTGGGCGAGGGGAAATAAGAACGTATGGCGCTTTGTGTGGTGTCGGCGTTGGTGGTAGGGGGCTGGTTGCTGGGGGGGCGTGTGTTTTAATGTATTTTCTGATAAAGAGAAATGATCCGGACTTTAAGAAAGTCAATATCTTCCTGCACAAACACACAGGCAGTGGCGGGGAGGGCTAAAACTCTTAAAACCTCGGGGCCTCAGCTCTGCCGAAAGGAGTTTACAGTCCCACACAATGCACTTGCACACACCAACAACAGGGTGAGGAATACAATCCTCCTGCACACATGAAGAGATGGAGGGGTAAGCAGAGAGAAATAAGGAGAGAGGAAGTGTAGAGGGGGAAAAAAAGAAAGAAAAGGGAGTAATATAGAAAGTTGAATGTTCTGCTGTAATAGTGGTTTTGATTGTGTCGCTACAATTTGAACTTTTTGGCCACACTGAAAAATACAGTATTATTAATATAATAATATAGTACATTGAATACCGTATTTTACTTGCCACACTTCCATTTCTTTTTTTTGTAGCCAACAGGACAGTATAGTTCTCACAGGCTTCTGACTGAGTGTCTGTAGACATGAACGCACTACTGTGTTTTTGGTGGCTGTATATCTTGCTTTTCTGGATGTGTGTGTATTCATGCGCGCGTGTTCCGAACATTTACGTATACGAGCAAAAAGTCAATGGGAAGAAAAAGTTTTTTTCAAAAGTACACATTCCATTTGTTTGTTTTTTGGCAGCCTGGTTTTTCCATCTTACTAAATAACGCATGTGGATCAGCACGGTTTCATCATCTTGCTCAGATGAGGCAACCACTTTTTGTTTCAACACTGGAGAGCGCCATTTGTTGTGATTCCTCCGTGACTTGTACTCTTTGTCCATCCCTGAGTGTGATGCGCCCCCCCCCGCACACACACACACCCTGCTGTAATCCCCAAATAATCCATTCCATTGTCCCCGTGCTGTTTGATCTCCGTCAAGCTTCCTATTGAAGTAGCACATGCAGTTTGCTCAATTATAATCACTGGTGCAAGGAGAAAAAAAATGAAACCATGCCCATTCATTTCATTCTGCAATAGATTCTGTAGTATGCAATCCTAATACTGTCCACATTCCTAAATGAACAAGATTTCTATAGCCGATGGGAGGAGAAGTGAGGAGAGGGGTTTTGTTGCAAACTGTTATAAAGTTATCTTAACAGTAGATAACTTTATATTTAAAAGACTAATATCCTTGCTCATTATTTATTACTCCACATCTGTTTGACAGAAGACAAAATCTTCCACTAAAGGGGTGTTTCAAACATGGACTGTTTACTCTTTCCGCGGTCTAGACGTTCTGATGTACTTTTAAAGCGGTAAGATTTATCTGGTGTTTTTTTTTCCAGCAATAAAATCCTCTACCTCTGGGAAACACTGTGTTTTGCATCTGGCTCCTTTCACACCATTCAGATCAAACAACTTCACTGAGGAAGACGAACTATTCTGACTGCGGAAAGAGTGCTGACACCGGGTACGGAAATGTTTCACTCAAATCAAAGTGATAATTTGTGTCTTAAAACGTACCTTTATGTTGCCCATAAAAAAAAAAGGACACATAAGAATTCAGATGTTTGCTTGTAAATGCTGGGTCTTACTCGCTCAGTCACCATACACTTACATCTAAATTCATGAGTACTAGAAATAAATGGTGGTGATAAGAAGACTGAAAACAAATCAGCCCCGCCAGCAGCTCTTTGAGGCTATACATAAGCACAGTGGTGCTTTGAGTATAATGCTAGCGTTGGCATGCGAATACGCTCACAATGGCAATGCTAACATGCCGATGTTAAGTTCATCATCTTAGTTAGCGTGCTCACATTTGTAAAGTAGCCCAAAACACAAACTACAGCTGAGGCTGATGGGAGTGTCATTAGTTTTGCAGGCATTTGGTCATTAAGCAGGATTGGACGAATTAGAATTCTACCTGATGATGGTGCTTGATGAAAAAGTCAGAGGATCACGAAATTTATGATGATTCACCGTATGGGGAGCATGAACGCATGCACCAAATTTAGGGATCAAACAATCATCCCGATGATCAAAGGAAGATTTTGGAATACATTTTTACTACGGTAAATGTGTAAAAATAAAATGTGTTGTGCAGAGCTGCTGTAAGAGTTCAATTTGTGATGGATACCTCAGACGCATTTCAAAAGCAGTGAACGCTAACGTCAAATGTTTTTGCAAGTGTAAGGTCTGAGGAGCAATGTAAATGCAAAGCAAGGGAAAATATCAGCAATGAAAGGACAAGAAAAGGGGGGAAAAGGCAAACCAGCAGCTGAATTTGAAATGTTGTCCCCAGGATGAGCGCTTTTTACTGTTAATGGAGAAATAGAGTGCGTGGCATATTTAATGGGTTTTGTTTTTATTGTACAGCACTGAATAATTAACTGGGAAGCAGCATGTCACATAGATTTATCTTTTAATTAAAATAACGTGGTTCACGCATATTTGAGTGGTAGTCCAAATAAATGCAATATCCAAATTTATGTTTTGTTTATCTTCCTGTTAATTATCCGGAGATTGTTCACTGTACAGCCCTTCATATTCTCTCTCTCTCTGCATCTGTCTCTCCCCCTCTCTCTCTCCCTCTTTCTCCAAGTAATAACCAGTCAGGTTTTATTAATTTATGGATAATTGTGGCTACATGAATAAGGTGCGTGGCATGAAACCAGCTCATTCTCATAAAGTGAGATGAATGTGTCAGGCTGGCTGATGCCTCGACATGACACCAATAAAGAGAGGAACATTTTTTTTGTCCTTGTCTCTCGAATCAGACTAATTCCTAATATCTTCCCATTAGAGCGGAGACAATTGGAAACAAATAGGGACTCCACGGATGCAGAGAACTAACCCCAACAAAAGGACAAAAACAACAAGGTTGAACATTTATTAACATGCCTTGAGATATTTCATGGCAATCTATCTAACAATTGTTACGATATTTCATTCTGAAGCACCATGAAAGTGTGGCAGGTGGCATAATAAACGTTTGCACAGAGGTAAAATCCAACCAACAGTTGCTGAGATATTTCAGGCTACCGGTAAAATACGCTGTGTCGTCTTTTAAGTGTTGTTTTTTTCCCCTTTAGATACATGCAGGAAGGTTGGGGTGGAGCGAAATGTAAATACTGGGAGGACCGCCAATCGAAATCGAAAGCTCATTTCCAAAGATTTTCGATTAAAATCTTCTCATACTGTACCAGCTTTATGTACTTTGTAAAGGTTGTGATGCTAATCGTGATTGGCACGTTAGAATGTTAAGATTAGCTCTGAGTGTAGTAGCAGTCCACGTTACTTTGTATTGCTAGTTTATTCGGTGTTTTGAGCTAAAACCTAAAGCTTACGTATGTATGTAAACGTTTTTGAGTTGTTACCACAAATACAGTGACTGAGGAGATATTTGTACTCGTGAGACAGATGACAATGAAACCAGTAGTGTATAAAGTACTCAAAAGCCATACTTGAGTAAAAAGTAAAGATACCTTACTGGAAAACTACTCCAGTAAAAGTAAAAGTCACCTATTAGAATACTACTTGAGTAAAAGTCTTAAAGTATCTGATATTTATTGTACTTAAGTATCAAAAGTAATTTTCTGATATTAAATGTACTTAAGTATTGAAAGTAAAAGTAAACGCTGTTAATAAAAAAGCAAAGCGTCAGAATTATGAAGTTTATTCTTTTAAGTGCTGTGGCCACCATGACCAAGGACATAGAGCTGTGTTGAAAATAATTGGGTTGGCTGTGATCCATCCAGGAGCAACAATGTTCAACATAATATATTGTACATAAGTATACTTTTGCATCTACTATGAACTTATTATCATAATTCTCCGAAAAGCAATATGACACTATGAAGGAGTTGTAACAGTGCGTTTATAAGTATGCTCATTCCGACTAGAGGATGTAGAGGGCAAATGCATAATATTGTGTTCAGCAAAAAATATCCACTTGATGCATCAGGTCAGTGTTTTGAGAAAGGACACCTGCCTGATTTGAACACAATAGGCAAAGGTTTTGCTCAAGCTGAATCTGCAATTGGGCGACTGCTACCATCATAACTCCATCTGATCATCCACAAAATGACTCAAATATCAAAACATGATCAATACTAAAGCAGCACCGAAAGTAACAACCCAGCCATTACTTGAACCTGAAAAACGTCTTGTTCATCTTCAAAAGAAGTTGGTTTTCAAAATTGCGAGAATTCCGTCTGGCTCTTCTTGGGCTGAAGACTAGTCCTGCGATGCTAAATAGCCTTTCACAGGCCGCTGAGGCAGGTAGAGGTGTGTTCAGCTTCGCAGACAGCTTGCGCACAGCTGGGAAGGATTTCCCTAATGCTAACCATAATGCTAGCCCTGATGCTGCGCTCTCGCGGCTGCTGCCAATCCTATGGTGTGGTGGCTAGCTATAGCTAACGTTAGCCAACTAGTGCTGCACAACTATCAACACTTCCTCAGCTCACTAACTCGCTAGCGATCCACGGGTGTTGGTCTTCGTCACCACCGTCGTTTGTTGCGGGAGTAGCAGGTGCTTCCATTTCTGCTTCCGTCATGAAATCAGTCATCGTAGAGTGGAATTCTACTCATGTAGTCGCTCGCTAGCTATAGCATATAGCATCCTGGGCATCACTGGGAATCAAAACACCGCGACTTTGAGAGCACTTGTTTGCAATTGCGCATTAACGTGATTAACCAATGATTTAACTTGCAAGCTAGGACCACTGATTCGCCAAACCTGCTTGCTTGCAGTCTCTGTTCCACCACAGTCCCCGACTTTGGTCTCATGATTCTTTTTTTTTCTAAAGATAGATTTTGATTTTGTAGCGAGTAACGAAGGTTTCAGGGGAAATGTATCGGAGTAAAAGTATCAGTTTTCTTTGCAAAATGTAGTGAAGTAAAAGTAAAAGTCAACAGAAATATAAGTAGTAAAGTAAAGTACAGATATCCAAAAAACGACTTAAGTACAGTAACGAAGGCAACTTCGTGGTGTATAGTAACTTTGTTACTATACACCACTGCATGAAACTCTCTTTGGCGTGTTCACAAATGCATCAAGAAGACTATTTCCACGTGTCTGTTTTTAAAATGTCTTTCACAAACTAATGGATAGAAATGCATAATGCAAGAAAACGGCAAACATGCAACAAACGCTGATCAAGTGTGTTTGCAAGCAGGATATGGCTGGAAAGGTGCCATCTTGTGTAAAAATATCCCAAAGTCTGTATGCATTCACGAGAGTTTGTGTTCTTGTGTTTACGCCTAAGGTTTACGTTCGGCAGTAATCTTGTAACCCCACACTCCTAGGAATGTTGCAGTTCAGTGTGACACGTTTACATGCTAATCTGAATGCAGCCTGTGATTTTCTTTAGAATAAGGGTCTAGTCATGTGATGAGGTCATGAATAAAGTTCAAGGTTAAGGTTATTTTTTATTATCTTAAAAAACAAGGAAATACAATTTTTTGATTCTGGCGGTGTCCGTGGACATAAGCGATAGTGTGTCCGAGCACCAAAGTCCCTTTGGAAAACCTTTCATTTTACTGTATGTAAAGTACAGTATGCCCCTTGCAATCCTGGTTCTGGTTCTCCCGTGCCTCCCTTCCCTCTAGTGGGCCCAACAATGTGGCCTGGGTTTCCAGCAGCCCGTTGCCGGTGTTGGCTCCCGGCAGGAACAGGCGGAGCAGTGAGACAAAGCTCTGCTTCTGGCCGGATGAGGAGCAGCTCCTGCCGGGTGCTGAGCTCTCCACCTCAAGTCGGAGCTTCGACGGTAGAGAAGCCAAATCTGTAGAAGCATCAGTATTACTTTGACTGTTACATACAGCATACATGACAGCATTCTAATCATGCAATGGTGCCACACTTTTTAGGTTTACGGGGCGGGCATGGCAAGTCCCACTGTAAACCATCATATCTTTGTTGTTTTATCTTTGACTGAAAAATGCTTCCACCAAAAAGACACATTGTGTGATGTGTCATAGAGATTTTAATCTAAAAGTGGTCTCCAAACATGGCTTTGTGAGCAACTGCATATAGCTCAACTCAAGATAGCTACAGCATGAAATATAACCAAACAGTGCAGGTCTGACCTGTTATCGCTGACCAGACTGGAATTATATCCAGCTCAATTTATTAATGGCCCTGATTATAAGTGGTTGGACTCAATCATATGGCCTGTCAGAGTTAGGTAGATATAAGACTTGACCGTATGCGACAATACCTGCAGTTTGCCTAGGTTATTTACATTCATACTACTCATATATTATTAGCTAGTTTACACATAAGTCATGACAGCGATTAAGCTAGAGAGGCTGTAAAATCTGCCATCACTCAGCAACATTGCAGCTTCTTTTGTTTCTTTTACACCTTCACAAGGATTATTTCTTACAAACTTTGACGGGTTTGTATCCAAATTAATGTAGGACATCTCGACAGAGATATTTCTGGCTGACGTTTGCTAAACAAAGTGCAAATGATTACTCAGTTAATTGCCGAACAAATTAACGAGTACCGGTATAAAAGGTCCAGATTTATAGAGGCATGATGTTATAAAATTTACCAATTTGGTGCCACCTCATGACAATAGAGGTTGATCACGAAGATGCTCTATTGCAAT